CTGCAAGTTCGGTTATTAAAACTGGGCTCAGTGAAACAAGGAAGGGCCTAGGACAGAAGCAGCAACGGGAGAGGGACTGGGCAGGGCTGCTTTATGGGAAAAAAGTGAGTCAAGGCCGGGCTGCTGTCAGCTCCCTGGAGACTCAGAGGAAAGGGGCTTTGGGGACAGGCTCAGGGGGTGGCCCGGGGCAAGCTGCTGATGCCCTTTGCCCCCCTGGTTGCAAATGTCCTGGGGTCCCTTAGAGTTTAGGAGATGCACGTCTGTGGAGGAAGAAGAGGGGAAAAGGAGAGGGCATGGGGATTCTTCCTGGAGAGAGAATGCATGCTGGAACCTTCGTTTTCTGAGGGTCTTAAAGGCTGGGGGCTTAGGGGAGGTCTTAAGGGAGCATCTCAATAGAATATTCATCAGCTTCACAGATGTGCCTTTTCAGGGTCGTGGTCTCTACTGACTGGCCAGTGCCAGGGCGTCCTTATGAGACAGGCTAGTAAGTCAGGACAAGTGAACTAGGGAAACTGAGACGTAGTTAAACAGCAGCTCACAGCCATCTAGACAATCTGGGTGCCAAGCAGCTTGCAGACATCTAGTAAACCCTGCCTTCCCTAAACCAAGGACACTTACAGATAAATGGTTTGCCCCTCTCCTCCCCAACCAGCGGGTAAATAGCTTAAATCACCTTACTCAGGGAGACAGACACAGAAATCCAATCAGTGCCATTTGCCAACCACACCCAAGGACAGACGACGTTAAGGGAATAAACCTAATCTTGCACACCAGCACAAAGCTGAAGAATATTATCTTCCCCTAAGGCCTCCACCAAACGCCCAGCCTTTAAAACCACTCAAAACCTCCCGGGAGCATACCCACGTCCCCCACCCCCTTCTTCCCCCACAGACATGCACCTCCTGGACTCTAAAGGACCCCACAAGGCTTGTAATCAGGACAGCAAAGGGCAGCAGCAGTTGGTCCCAGACAAACCCCCGAACCTGTCTCCAAGCACCCTTTTCTCTGACTTTGCCGTGAGTCAGAACAGCCCAGCCGAGGCTCATCCCCCCCCCCCCTGCCCCCCCCGCTCCTTGTTTTTCGTCCCCAGTGTTAGTACACATCCTCTAAGATTCACCGGGAATCGATACATGAAATCTTTCCTACACCAAGTCAAGAACGCACACTACCCGCTAGCCCGGGGCAGGCGCACTCAGGGCCAGGTCCTCTTTCCGGCAACAATTAGTTATTGTTGGTCCTGGCATCCCCACCGGGTTCTGCTGCTTTTCTGGGCCAGGAGCTGAAATAAAACTGAGGCCTAGATGTGATCTCTAGGGAGGAAAGGTCAGGGGGTCCAAACCGCATGACCGGCGCTATGCCAGGGGAAGGAAAGCCACCTGTGGGCCGGGTCCGCGCCAGTTTTGGCCCTTGGTAGGCACCTGGGCTGTCTGCCCTGGTGACCCTCTATTTCTGCTGCAAATTGCTGGGCCAGTTTGTTCAGCTCCCTGTCTCAGTCTCCCCATTCCACTTGCCAAGGGATTTTCCTGGCTTCTTCCTGTCCTGCCTCAGGGTGAGGCCATATGGAGGGGAGCCAAGGCATCCCAGCCTGCAGTCAGCACCAAGGCCCCAGATAGGGGAGGCCATGCTGCAACCCAGCAGCCACTCAGTTACCCTAACAAAGGACTGAAAACAGGTTTCAAGCCTCTGAGTTGGGGGTAGTTTGCATACACAGTAAGGACAACTTAAAGAGACGCAAAGCACAAGGGGATTATGTTAATTACTAGTATAGGTGAGTTCCGTTGAGTTCCGAAAGTCCCTGGCCTCCACCTCCACCTCCTCTGAGCCCAGATGGCAGGCTCCCTCTACCAGGAGGTCTGGGGACTCTCTTGTCTGACTCCCTGATCTTTTTTTTCTTTACATGGTGAGTTGTTTCAGAATCTTTTTTTTTATTTAACCTCTTCTTTTGGAGGTACCAGTCAGACCATCCTCTCTTCTGCTAACACACTCCTTGTTGGTTTGATTGAGTTTGGGGCCCTGTTAATTGCAAGGATACAACCTCATTTAAGCTACGGGTCTTCCTAATCCCTAATATGAATTGCCTGCCACAAGGATTATAGCAGAGATTCAGACCAACATAGCCCTGGGCTCATGAAATTTACATTCCAGTAGAAACTCAGATTGGGGAAGTCTTCATCACCTACTAGGCATAAAAACATGACCCAGTGCAGGCAGGTGTCCTGTGCTTGGCAACCACCTGATAACCACTAACGGCCCAGCTCTCACAATTTTATATAAATGGACGAACAAAAGTGAGTCTTCCTATATTTTTAAAGTATAAGCAGTTTGGCATTACCTGACGGCAGTGAGCCTGGGGAACCAGTAAAGTTTATGTTTTTGCCTGGAATTTAATATTTCTTTCTTTTTTTTTTTTTATTAATTCCCACCCAGGGATATTTTTTCCATTGATTTTTAGAGAGAGTGGAAGGGAGGGGGAGAGACAGAAAGAAACATTGGTGTACCCCTACAGGCCTCCACTGAGCCAAACTGGCTAGGGCTAATATTTCTCTAAAAAGGATCCAAGTAGTCATCAAGGGAAAATTATTTTATTGCACTTCATAATGTTTTTTTAAAATGTAATAGTGTTCCCCTAGTATTATTGAAATACTATGCCCCGTGCAAGAAATTCATGCATTGGGTGGGGGTAGGGGGGTGTCCCTCAGCCCAGCCTGTGCCCTCTCGCAGTCTGGGAGCCCCTGGGGGATGTCTGACAACTTAGGCTCAGGGAGCAGGCCTAAGCAGGCAGTCAGACATCCTTATCACTGCAGTGGAGGTGAGAGAGACTCCTGCCACCGCTGCTGCGCTCGCCAGCCATGAGCCCAGCTTCTGGCTAAGCAGTGCTCCCCCTGTGGGAGCCCACTGACCACCAGGGGGCAGCTCCTGTGTTGGGCGTCTGCCCCCTGTTGGTCAGTGCGCATCATAGTGACCAGTCGTTCCACAGTTTGGTCGATTTGCATATTAGCCTTTTATTATATAGGACTAGAGTCCAGGAGCATGAAATTTGTGCACAGGTAGGGCCCCTAGGCCTGGCCGGTGATCAGAGCAGATCGGGGTCTTCTGGCTGCTGGCCGGGGCCTTCCTTTATTCCGCGCTGCCCCCTGGTGGTCAGCGCACATCATAGCGAGTGATTGAACTCCCATCTCCCAGTGGAACTCCAGAGACACTTTGCATATTAGCCTTTTATATATATACTAGAAGCCCGGTGCACAAACTTCATGCACTGTGGGGGGGAGGTCCCTCAGCCTGGCCTGCACCCTCTTGCAGTCCGGGAGTCTTCAAGGATGTCTAACTGATGGCTTAGGCTCGTTCCCCATGGAGCGAGCCTAAGCCATCAGTCAGACATCCTTAGCACTGCCATGAATGCAGGAGAGGTTCCCACCACTGCTGCTGCGCTCGCCAGCTGTGAGCCCGGCTTCTGGCTGAGTGGTTCTCCCCGTGTGGGAGCACACTGACCACCAGGGGGCAGCTCCTGTGTTGAGCATCTGCCCCCTGGTGGTCAGTGCACATCATAGCAACTGGTCGTTTTGCCATTTGGTCTATTTGCATATTAGCTTTTTATTATATAGGATAGATAATTGACATATAACATTGTATAGCTTTGAGGTGTACAATGATTATTTATATAAGTATACATTGCAAAATGACTACTACAATAGTTATTTAATATATCCATCACCTCCCATAGTTACCTTTCCTGTGGTCAGAACTTTTAAGATCTACCCTCTTAGTAACTTGCAAGTACACAAGACAGTATTGAGAACTGTCGTCACCACGCTGTACGTCAGACCCCCAGAACTTGCTCATCTTAGAACTGAACGTTGTACCGTTTGACCACCTTCACCAGCTTGCCTTACCTCTCAGCCCCTGGTAGCCATCAACCTACTGTTCTTGTGAGGGGTGTTCTGTTTTGTGCTCTGTTTTATTTTTAGGTTCCATATAAAAGTGAAATCATACTTTACTTGTCTTTCTCCAGCTTATTTCATCTCACATTGTTAACCTTAAAATTGAAGGCCAACGTGAGAGGTGGCAGGCATTTATTTGAGATAAAAAGAACAGATGTCCAGGCAGAAACCCCATGTTCTGAGGAGGAGATGAGGCCAGGGCTAACTCTGAGAATTGCATCAATAGAAGGAAGGCCTTTCCACAGGTGCAGAGAACAAAGTGATGTTCATTCCAAAGCACGTTTTAAGTTTTCCCTGCAGGAGTCATCAGTCAGATAGTCACAGTATTTGCTTTCCTGGTAACTTTGCAAATAGTAGCGGGGGATACAATGTTGCCCTTTTACATTCCACAGTGTCAGCCATTACCCTGCAAGGACGTTGCCCCGGGAAGGCAGCCCCGAGCCTGCGACTGCGCAGCGGATTCCTCCGAGGCTCCCCCGGCTGTGAACTCAGTACAGGTTAGGACTGAACAGCTGCCCAGGGCGCTGGCTCCAGGGCCTGTTCTGCAACCCCTGCCTGATTCTTCTTGCTTTTCTTCCCCAAAGCCAGTAAAAGTAATCATTTAAAACATGTGCTCACACGGATTACCATGGAAATAAAATCAGTGAAAGCTGCTACACTCACTCTCTAATCTACAACCAAAAGCAAGAGCAGTGGGGTGGAAGAGGTTAATGGAGAAAAAGGGAGGACCTATGTAATACTTTCAACAATAGATATTTAAAAAACAAAAACAAAAGCAAGAGCGAAGTCCCCTCACCGGGACTGAAACTCCAAGCCCTGCTCTCTCGCCGCCTCACACGCTCCCGGAAGTCCGGCGCGGGACGGTTTCCGGGGAAGCCGGGAAAAGACGAGGGGCGGGGCCTGCGGGGCGCTCTAGCGTTCCCCTACTCTATGGCTGCCACCCATTGACAAGCCCCAGAGGCAAGGCTCCTCTCTATTGGACGCGCAGCCTCGCGAAGGCGGGGTATCTCGGCCTTCGGCACGCTGATTGGCTGGGCCTGCCATTCCAGGCGGAGGGGCGGGGCGTGGGGCACGCGGAGCGAGGTGAGCCGCTGCGTCTCTCAGCTGGGCAGCAAGCGCATGTGGGCTCTCCGCTCGCTGCTGCTGCGCTCCGCGGCCGGGCGCACCATGTCGCAGGGGCCCGCCCGCCGCTCGCGGCCGCCCAAGGACCCGCTGAGGCACCTGCGCACGCGAGAGAAGCGCGGCTCGTCGTGGGAGCCCGGGGGCCCGAACACCGTGTACCTGCAGGTGGTGGCGGCGGGCGGCAGGGACGCGGGCGCGGCGCTCTATGTCTTCTCCGAGTACAACCGGTCAGTGGGTCTCACCGGAGTCCGTCCCCACCCTCCCTGAGCCCCACGCGCCCGGGAGCATCGCGGCACCTCCGTGGGCCGCGGCGCCCTGCTGTCACGGGGGGTTTCGCGTTGCTGGGAACTTGTCTTTGGTTGTTGGGTGGGGCATCCTGGGTCCCTTAATCCCACGCCGTCACGTGCCCGGGGTCCCTGCAGAACCCCAGGCTCGGGTCTAAGCGTCCTCCCTCCAACCCTGGGCCCCCGAGTTCCCTCTTGGCACCATCGGAGCCGCATCCCCTGCCCTGCGCGCCCGGGCGGGGCCTCGGGGTCGGTGTGTGAAGTCGCCGGGTCTGCGAGGGGGAAAGGGCCTTCGGGGCACCAGCACCAGCCTGCACCGCCTCCCCGCCCCCGATCCTGCCGGGTCTCCGCCGAAGCCTCCCAAATCCAGCATCCTAATAGCAGAACGCGGCCGGCTAGTCCAGCATGGGTTTTCAGCTTTTGGTTTGTTTTTTTCCCCCCGAGAGCGTGCACCGAAACACCTAAACGGTGGTGAGAATCTTACAAAATAGAATCTTCTAAGTAACTTCCATAATGCTCGTCCTGCAGGTATCTCTTCAACTGCGGGGAAGGAGTCCAGCGACTCATGCAGGAGCACAAGTGAGTCAGCGGCCTTCTTCGGGGGGAGATGACCATGGGCTTTGCAAGCTGAAGTGAGAGGCAGCAGTGCCTTTGTGGCTGCAGAAAGGGTCCCTGGTGCCTCCACTTTGTCCTGCTCCAGTGTCTTCTCTCTCTTAGGCTGAAGGTGTCTCGTTTGGACAACATATTCCTGACCCGAATGCACTGGAGTAACGTTGGGGGATTGTGTGGTGAGTCTGTTCTTTCCAGGGTCCCTGGCTGGAGGGACGCTGTGGGGTTTTAGGCTGCCTTGCCCTTTCTTGCTTAGCTTCTGAGTCCAGGGGAGCTGGAATTCTCTGTGTGCCCGGCTAGTCAGCTCTGCATAGAGCAGCGGTTCTCAACCTGTGGGTCGCAACTCCTTGGGGGGTTGAACGACCCTTTCACAGGGGTCGCCTAAGACCATCGGAAAACACATATAGAGTTACATATTGTTTTTGTGATTAATCGCTGCGCTTTAATGATGTTCAATTTGTAACAATGAAAATACATCCCGCATATCAGATATTTACATGACGATTCATAACAGTAGCAACATTACAGTTACAAAGTAGCAACAAAAATAATTTTATGGTTGGGGGTCACCACAACATGAGGAACTGTATTAAAGGGTCGCGGCATTAGGAAGGTTGAGAACCACTGGCATAGAGCATCGGAAGCCGTTCCTCAGGAGGGCAGCGTTTAACCTGGACACTGCCCTCCGTGTTACCATCCACTCGTCTACTGAGTCGCTTGACTGGAGATACGTGACAGTGAACTGGAGAGTGCAGTGATGGAGATTACAGTAAATGCATTTACCACGGAGAACAGAGGGGCTCCACACAGATACCCACTATCCGTAATACCCCGTTCTTCACGTCCACCCACTGCAAAGGTCAACGTTGTGTCGCAGCCAGATTCTCTAAGCTTTGTGGTGTGGGTAGGAAGGAGTGTTGCACTAGTTGCGTTCTCAGAGCTGAGACTAGAGCGAGGCCAGGAGGTCCCTGGGTTGCAGAATTTAAGACCCTCCCTTCAGTTGAATGGTTTTGTGCCCCAGGCGCCTCTTGCCTCGCCTGGTATCAGCCCTGCCCATTGGAGAGGCGCTTGAGGAGTGTATGGTGTCCCTTCTGCTGCACACGTGCTCCCTGGTCCTTAGAAGCTGAATGAGGACAAATGGAAAAGGAGCTGGTTACGAGGCGTCCTGCTGGCAGTGCCTGCGGGGCAGGGTGCTGAGATCTGACTGCACTTGTCCTTTCTAGGAATGATTCTTACTCTAAAGGAAACCGGGCTCCCAAAGTGTGTGCTTTCTGGACCTCCACAACTGGTGAGTCTCCTGACTGAGCTTCCAAACCGAACCCATCCTTTTTTCAAAGTTATAACAAGAATCTTCGTTTTTGTAAATCAGGCTTCTGCCTCCAGAGGTAATCAGTAGTGAAGTAAACACTTTACCTTTCAAAATTAAGAGGCCTGAGTCCAGAACTTACTAACTATATCACCTTGAACAAGTTACCTCAGTTTCTTCGTCTATAAAATGGCTATCATGCTTCATAGAGTTATTAAAGATTAAATGACAGCTCTGACCAGGTAGCTCAGTTGGTTAGAGCATCATCCTGACACACCAAGATTGTGGGTTTGATCTCTGGTCAAAGCACAGACAAAAAGCAACCAATGAATGCATAAAAATGTGGAACAACAAAATTGATGTTTCTCCCTTCCTTGCTCTACCTAAAATCAATAAAAAATGTAAAAATTTTTTAAAAAGAAAGAAATGAGGTAACACACATGAAACACCAAGTCAGCTCTGGCCGAATGGGTCGGTTGGTTGGGTGTCGTCCCGCGCACCTAATGGATGCCGGTCCAATTCCGGGGCAGGTGTGAACCAGGAGATTAGGATCTGACTCCCGATCAGGACACATGCCAGGATTGCAGGCTCGATCCCCAGGGGGGGGGGTGCAGGAGGCAGCTGATGGATGATTCTCTCTCATCATTGATGTTTCTCTCTCTCTCTCCCTCTCCCTTCCTCTCTCTGAAATCAATAAAATAATATGCACATAAAAATTCCGAGTCAGGGCATACGCCCAGGTTTCAGGTCTGATCCCTTGTAGGGGCCGTGCAGGAGGCAGCTGATTGATGTTTCTCTCACTTAGATGTTTTTCTCTCTCCCTCTCTAAAAATTAAAAACAAATAAATAAAATAAAAAATACTTGAAAAACAAAAACCCCCTAAGGGTTGGCACCAAGTAGGCACACAATAAGTGCTATCTTTTATTCTTACCTATTTATTACATTTGAGACATCTTCATACCTTTCAGATCTGCTTCATCATTGAAAAGTGTGTGTGTTGTAACTGTTGACTATAGCAGTTTATTTCCCAGTTCTTAAGAGGAAGGTTGCCCGTCACCAAGGACTATTAATTCTCCAAAATGGTGTCTCAAATCCATCCATTTGTCTCCATCTCACCAGGGCCTTCATTATCCCTGTCTACTGCACCTGTGTCTGTGGTAGCTTCCAATCTCCGTTCTTGCTTCCCTGTAGTCCACCTTACCACAGAGTAGCCAGAGGAACCTCTTTAAGGCTGAACAGCAGACATGTTACTTCCATTCTAAAACCCTCCCAGGGTTCTCCATTCAGTACAGTCCAAACACCTTCATAAGGCCCATAAGTCCTGCAGCCGTGGCCCTGCCCACCCCTGCATCTATATCCCAGTCACCAGGCTGGAGCCACATAGACCAACTCTTAGCCGCCCACTGAAGCTCTTCCCACATCAGGGTTTCATCCATGCATGAGTACCTCTACCCCCTTGCATCTCTGCCTGAGTCGTTCTGATCCTTCAGAGCTCAGCCGAAAGGTCGTTGGCTCGGGAGCCGTCCCTGATTCTCCAGACAAGTTATACCTCAGCCCCCTGCATTTCTCCTCTTTTTTTAATTTTTAAAATTTTTTAAAAAAATATATTTTTATTGACTTCAGAGAGGAAGGGAGAGGGAGAGAGAGAGATAGAAACATCAGTGATGAGAGAATCATTGTTCGGCTGCCTTCTGTATGCCCCCTACTGGTGATTGAGCATGCAACTGCGGCATGTGCCCTGACCAGGAATTGAACTGTGACCTCCTGGTTCTTAGGTCAACGTTCAACCACTGAGCTATGCCAGCCAGGCTTCTTTCTTGAAGCGCTCTTAGCACAACTGCCACTGTGTCCTTGTTTGTGTTATCATTTGTTTCATTTTTGTCTCCACTGGATGAGGGCAGGGATCCCATCTCCTCCCTGCTAAATCCTTGGCATCTGACAGATAGTGGACACTTGGTAAAGATTTGTGGAGAGGAAGTTTAAATACTTATTATAAGTCATGTTGATGCCTCTTACGTACTCAAATACATTGTTGCATCCTGCATCTATGCAACCATAACTGCTCACTTTTCTTTCCTTTCTTTTTTGTAGGAAAAATACCTAGAAGCTATCAAAATATTTTCTGGTCCATTGAAAGGAATAGACCTGGGTATGTCCCTGCCTCTGACTCAGTATCTGCCATTTTTTTCTCACATATGCCCCTATCAAATTAGAATCCATGGGGATTGACTAAATTAAACCTTAAACTGAATCATTCCTCAACATAGGTGCATTTTTAAAATGTCTGTCACATTCTGTGCCCCTACCTCCTTCCCCTCAAATATAGGCTGGAGACGGTTCTCAGAGCCGATGAACCTTGAGTTTCTTGCAGTGGGGAGGAAGGGTATGAGAGGGACCTGCAGCTTTTGTCCCTGTCCTTTTACACCGAGCCTCAGCTTGGCTGTGCTGCGGGCGCCTCTTCCCAGGGAAAGGCCTAATGAGGATGCTGCAGCCCCGGCCCTGGAGGCGGTGTGCTCCTCCAGGGTGTTCACGCTCCTCTTCTGTGGAAATGCCCGTATCTTATTCCAGAACCTGTACTGGCTCTCACAGTGCAGACCACAGATTCTCCGGCCTCACGGTGTTATATATTACCTTGTGCTTCTTAAACTGGAGTATTAGTTTCTTTCTTTTTCACAAATGGATAGTCACCAGTGATCATGTCTTTTCATTTGGCCCTAGTAACTGATGAAAATATACTTTGCTTCTTTCCCCCGAATTTTAATTTGCTCAGAAACTCTGATTTTAGTGCAGATTCTCACCACAATCCCAAGGCAGTTCAGCTGCTTGTGGTTGGTGGTCTGGAAAGCGGACCTTCACGCGTGTCTGTACTAATGCGGTTGCTTTTCTCTTTTGCGCGAAGCTGTGCGGCCCCACTCCGCACCCGAATATAAGGATGAGACCATGACGGTGTTCCAGATCCCCATATACAGTGAGTACGAAGGCACACTTCCTGGGAGGAGGGCATAGGTCCAGGGTGAGGCCGGCATGGGTGAGAATGGAAACTGCTTGGATAAATTAAGGTACGGTTCCTGCCCTTACGGAGCTTCTGATCTTCTGGGAAGACACGTTTAACTGGTGTGTAATGATAGTGACTATACTTTGGAATATAATGTAATCGAGCGCTGCTGAAAACACATTGCTCTAAGACAGGGGTCCTCAAACTACGGCCCGTGGGCCACATGCGGCCCGCCGAAAACATTTATCTGGCCCGCCGGGTGTTTTTGCCGCCGCTGCCTGTCCTGCTTAGCAGCCGACTCGTCCCGGGCCCGCAGTGCGCATGTGTGGAATGTCTGAGGGACAGTGAAGTGGCCCCCTGTTTAAAAAGTTTGAGGAACCTCTGCTCTAAGATTTGCATTTATTGCTCGAGGTGTATTTACCACAGATGTAAGTACCTCCTTTGATGAGAGGATTCTGATGCGTTTTTAAGCACACAGCCACCCAATAGAAGCATTGTCAAAGGTCAGAAGGTCACAGGAACCCCTTCTGGTCCCAGGGCCAGGGGAAGTAGGGTTGACCTAGAGAGGGACAGTCCATGTCAGGCCCTGCCCTGTGGGTGTTGCCCTTGAGTCTGACTGACACTCCAAGGAGTCGAGACATTTCCTCGACATGGCTGGCCGAGTGCTGAAGGGGTACAGGCCGGGACTGGGCAGGAGATGGGCTGCACGGGGCCGCGGGTGAAGGAGGGAGGGAGGCGAGGGGCGTGCCCCCGGCAAAGGCACAGTGCACAGTGCACACCGTGAGGTTCTGACCCGAACTCGCCTTGCCCGGCTCGCTCCTGCTCAGGTGGCTTTCCTGTCCTGACCCCACCCCTCCTGATTTGTGTGCCCCACTGTTCCTGTGCGGCACTCTGTGTCCCTCCCTAGCACTGAGCAGTTTGCTTTTTCGTATATTTGTGTGGCCAGTGGGAACCTGCTCAGCTTTCTGGCCTTGCTTTCCCAGCGTGCAGGCCATGGGGATGAGCGTGCCGGGGAGCAGGCAGCTTCCGTGGGACCCACCACTGTGTGGCAGCTTCCTCACCTTGAGATTTAACTGACTGCCCAATGACGTCCCCTCTCGGGGATGGGCCACTTTCAGGCCCAGTCTGTTTATTGCGAGTGATGATAATGCGTAAACTAGCCTACTGCCTGCACGCTTTCTCGTTAACAAACCCTGTTGAGTTCTCACTTTAGTCAGGGCTCTGCGCTGGGCAGGAATGGAAAGGGAGTCTGATGTAAATGCGGCCTGGAGACCAGGAGTGGGGGGGTGTCTGTTTACGGTGCTAGGAGCAGGCCTGCTGGCTTAATGGCGTTCCCACATGTGAACACCCAGGCTCTGCTGGGAGCTCCCCTTGCAGGTGTGTCATTTGATCATTTCTCATACTGACCAGGTGAAGAGAAGTGTGGAAATCACCAGCCAGCACAGAGTCCAGACAGGCGCAGTCCAGAGCAGTCTTCCGACTCTGCATCCTCTGAAAACGAGCAGCGCTTGCCAGATGGTAATGCTGTCACACGGAACAGTCACTGTCGGAACTGTTTTCTCCGCCATGGCCACCCTGCTCTCCGTGAGAGCCCTCACCCAGGCTCCCTGAACAGCGGCTGCTGTACTTCTGCACAGTGTGATTCGGCCCGTACACAGAGCCAGTCCGCGGCCCTGTGCGCCCAGACTCTGCTCTTTACCCAGAGGCAAATGGACTCATACAGAGGCTTATAGGCTTTTTATCAATGCAGATTCATTTGTCATGAACGCAGAACTGTAACTGCTAAGCTGACAAAGCAGTCAAATCAGTGAGCGGATCTGCACCTTTTCTTTCAGGTGGCAGCCTGCTGGGAAATGAAGTAAATCCCCAGAGTAGATGTATCAGGACGGACTGCATAAGGGTCTGTCCCGTGCTGGGCAGGCCTGATAAGCTCCCCCTTCTGCCCTGAGGTGGTACTGTCTGATGACCGAGAAGAGGCCAGCCCTGTAGCATCCTTTCTTGGCTGGAACGGGCGCAGACCCTGCCCAGACTTTCTCCACAGGCCTCTTGGCTCTTGTGTCATTTCGCATATTTTTATACTTGTTTATAAAGCACCTTGCAGCTTGTTTCTCTCACTTCTCCACTGCTTGGTAAATGAGTCACTTTTCACTCGCCATTCTGGAAGTTTTTTGGATGGAGTCTTGTGTTTTTCACTCACTTAGATTCCCAAATGAGTGGGGAAGACCAGGTCTGATTGAAACAACCCCAGTGCCTTCCTCAGCCTTTGTAGGGAAGGGTTTATCTGTTTCGTGGTGTGAGAAGTCAAATTAGGTATCCGATGGCCATCCACCTGAGAAGCCTGTAAGCCTTCACAGTTGTTATAATCAGATTTGTTTTTTCTCAGGTGTCAGCCAGAGAAGGGGTGGCAGGGACCCCTCCTTGGTCGTAGCTTTCGTCTGTAAGGTGAGCACCTCTCTGTTGGGCGTTACGTGAGGGTGGTGACCTTGAGCCAGCACTTTTCCAGTAGTTCCTAGGGAGCACCTGCTGAGCCCCCTGTGCCAAGGTGAAACCACGGATACCTGTATTTCCCAGTATCCACCTGTGCTGTTGGATACAACAGATTCTCTCCATTGTTCACATTAGGACTGCCTGAAATATTTGGCTGTCTTTTGAAGTTAAAGGCTAAGTTTCTGAAGTTAAAGGCTACTTTTATAGAGAAAGTTTTGTTTTCTTTCAGATGATTCAGGCCTTTATTCAGAATCTTTCAACTCTGTTTTAGTTAATATTATTTAACTGCTAACAGTGGGACACTAATTAATATTGGCTAGCATTCACAAAGGCCTTGATCTGCAAATCTGAAGTTGGTCAAACTCTATGAAAGTGTTATTACAATAAGGTATTTTTCAGGTCTGATTAATGGCGCATACACACACATAAACACATACACACACACACACACACACACGTTTTATTGATTTCAGAGAGGAAGGGAGAGGGAGAGAGAGATAGAAACATCAATGAAGAGAGAGAATCTATGATTGGTTGCCTCCTGCACACCCCCTACTAGGGATTGCGCATGAAACCCAGGCATGTGCCCTTGACCAGAATCAAACCCGGGACACTTCATTCTGTCATTCTGAAGGCCCACTATCTGAAAGAAATAATGTCCATTTTAAAACATTGGTAATTTTCATCCAAATTCTAACAACAGCAAGTGTTAACAATTATGAAAGGTTAGTAGTAATGTTAGTTATTGAAAGATCATTGTTAGTATCACTTATCAACTTATCTGAGTAATAGTTGTAATTTTTATAGACGTTAAGTACTGCCAATAGGCTTATTACTTTTATATTTCTGAGTTTTTAGACAGCAAAGTAATTTTCCAAAATGGTTTACATGGTAATTATTTTTTTTAAAATCCTCACCTGAGAATATTTTTCCATTGATTTTATTTAATTTTTATTGATTTCAGAGAAGAAGGGAGAGAGAGAGAAAGAAATGTCAATGATGAGAGAGAATGATTGATTGGCTGCCTCCTGTACTCCCTTTGCTGGGGACTGAGCCTGCAACCCAGGCATATGCCCTTGATCAGAATCGAACACAGGACACTCTGTCCACTGAGCCAAAGCGGCTAGGGCTACCTGGCATTTACTAAGTTGTGTTAGATCCTTCCTGCCTCCCGGGAGCTTGAGGCTCCAACACTAAGGAACTGCCGGCTTCTGCCGTGGCTTCCGTGGCTTCTGCCTCCTGCCTGGCTGTCCACTGCCACTTCTAAGAACTGCTCTCCTGGGTCAGCCCATGGTCCGTTTTCCCTCACTAGTTAATTTGCTGTTTCTCGGCAAAGGGGTTGGAGGGCAGTGAAGCGGAGCTGGTTCTTGTTGTGAGAGTTGGAGAGGGGAGGCCCTGTGTGCAGAGGGCCTGGCTGAAGCTCCGGCTCTGGGCTCGCTGTCTGCTTCTCATCGCCTCCCAAGTCCTCTGCCTTCCTTCCTGGGAGCAGCTCTCTGGGCTGAACTCAGCCCACAGGAAGGAGATGGCTCACCTGCCTTAGTGTGCAGTTCCTGTTAAACATTAGGTACATTTGCTCTTGCCCTCATGCCCAGTAGTCTGTAGAGAATGGTCACAGCAGTGCTTGCCACTGTCTACTAATGTCACATAAGCTCTGTTACCTGCACACACTTAAGCTGTAATCCTTCCTCTAGGGCAGGGTTCTCAACCTTCCTAATGCCACGACCCTTTAATACAGTTCCTCATGTGACCCCCAACCATAAAATTATTTTCATTGCTACTTCATAACTGCAATTTTGCTACTGTTAAGAATCGTAATGTAAATACCTGATGTGCAGGATGTATTTTCATTGTTACAAATTGGACATAATTAAAGCATAGTGATTAATCACAAAAACAATATGTAATTATATATGTGTTTTCCGATGGTCTTAGGCGACCCCTGTGAAAGGGTTGTTCGAACCCCAAAGGGGTCGCAACCCACAGGTTGAGAACCGCTGCTCTAGGGTAATGCTTTCGAAGACAGACAGTTCTAGAATATTAATAAGACTTAGAATCCAAGTTAGAGACTTTGCCCTGAGTCATTTCTTAACTTTAGGAAGTAAAAAGAAAATGCAAATCGTTAATATAAAGATTTAAAAAAGAAAAGGAGAATCAAATATAATTCATCACCCAAAGACTTATTAACAGTTTATGCCATTTCTACCGTTTTTCGCTATTATGTGTGTGTGTGAAATATGCAGATCCTAAAAATGTGTGAACAAATATTTAAGTATAGAATGATGATTATGAAGTTTCATGATAGGATTGTTATTTTCCCTTTGTAATAACAACATATCAGAAATTTTTTATTATAACTTTTTTCCATTATAAAAGCAACAGCATTATATTGCCAAATGTGCGAAAAATAGAGGAGAAACTGCCCACACTTGTATTGCCCTGTCACTGCCCCGGAATATTGCGTGACAGTGATGCGTGTGGTCATTTCTCCACCAGACCGTGTTCGGTGGCGCTCCTGTAGGTATTAGTTGATGAGTGCAGGACGATGACACAGCACAGCGTTTCTCCACTAGGATGCTAGAAGGATACTTCTTACTTGCTGTGGGAATGGGTGACATTTTATACATTTATAGGGAATTAATGTTGGGAAAGAAAGCACTGTGTTTTTAAGTCAGCTTTTATTACTAAAAGCGTTTTATTATTAGCGTTTCAGAACAAATGACTTCAGAATATAATGCACTTTATCTGAAGTTGTAATAATAATAATAAGTAAAACCAGAAAGATGCACTTACTAGAAAATTGATTAAACCAAGCTTCATCGTTAGTCACTGAAAGTACACTGCGTTCTTTCTGTTACAGCTTCACCTGAAGAAAGGAAACTTCCTGGTGCTCAGAGCCAAGGAGCTGGGCCTCCCAGTGTGAGTTTGGGCCGCTCCCGCGGGGCCTTTGGGGCCGCCTGGTGGGAATGCTCCCGTCTCACGGCTCCTCTCTCCTCCTTCCAGGGGGACAGCTGCCATCGCTCCCATCATTTCTGCCGTCAAGGATGGGAAAAGTGTCACTTTTGAGGGAAGAGAGGTGAGATGCCCCTTTCACGATGTTTCCGCATTTACAGGTAGGGCCTGGCACAGGGACGGTCTCTGTCCGGCTCGGGCCCTGCAGACGGCACTTTTGAGGGAAGTGGAACGGCTTGGGTTTTATCGCTTGGCTAAGCTACGCTGGCTGCCGTGGGCACTTCTGTTTCCCACTTAGGATCTGGGGGGTGCCCCTCCTGGTAGGATGATGCTTTCCCTTGTACTTGAGCTCAGGGAAGACCCCCAGAAGGATGGACTTTGGGTGCATGGCCCCAAAGAAGGCTACCTTGTTCTTTGCCAGGATGTCTTCTCTAGAGCAGTGGTTCTCAACCTTCCTAATGCCGCGACCCTTTAATACAGTTCTTCATGTTGTGGTGACTCCCAACCATAAAATTATTTTCGTTGCTACTTCATAACTGTAATTTTGCTACTGTTATGAATCGTAATGTAAATATCTGATATGCGGGATGTATTTTCATTGTTACAAACTGAACATAAAGCATAGCGATTAATCACAAAAACAATATGTAATTATATATGTGTTTTCCGATGGTCTTAGGCGACCCCTGTGAAAGGGTCGTTTGACCTCCAAAGGGGTCGTGACCCACAGGTTGAGAACCGCTGCTCTAGAGTCTAAGGACTTTAGGCCAGTGGCCACAGACCTGAGAGCCGTGTGTGCCACGCCTGGCTTTCTGGTCACTGTCGGTTTGAAATGCCCTCTGCCGGTCAGATGCCTGCCTGAGTGAGCAGGGGCAGGCGGGGGCAGTGGTGCTCCTCCCGCTGGCCCTGTGTTGCTGGCAGGGCTCCCGGGCTGTGCAGTGGGCTTGCAGGCCGGGGTGTGCCTGCTGCCCTGGCTCTGCTCTGCGAGAGCGACATAACCCTCTGACCCTGCAGATTTTGGCTGAAGAGATCTGTACTCCCCCGGACCCCGGGCTCGCTTTTGTTGTGGTCGAGTGTCCAGACGAAGGATTCATTCAACCCATCTGTGAGAACGCTGCTTTCCAGAGGTATCGGGGTCCTGGGGGTGACGAGTGAGAGCCCACATACTGCACGTAGGGCCCAGCGGCATCCACAGGGCGCCCCCAAACCTGCGGCTGCTCCTGGCCCAGAGCCGGGCCGCTGGGACACTCAGTCAGGATTTGAAAGGCCAAGGCAGTCTCCTACCTTAGGCTCGTCCTGCTGGCAGGTTTTACTGGTGATTGGTGGTTGGTGGGCTTTGTGGGTTACGCAGCCTTGAAGTGAAATTAGAAAACCTGACAAAGCAGAGACCTACAGACTAGGATGCTAATGGCCAGTTAGAGTTTTAAGTGTAGGTAGGCCCAGAGCTTGTGCATAGAGGGACTCGGGCAGTCTGGGGCTCCGCCCTGCCCTGGCACCTCTGGGAGCAGCTGGGAACAGCCCGGCTTGGACACGAGGCCGAGGGCTCACTGTGGTCCCCGAGAGCCAAGTGGTGCCCCTCCCTCACCGCCCAGTCTGCTTTGTGCATGCTCTGAGGTTGTGTCATTTTATAAAGCAAAGCCCACCTTCCTCCCATCCAGGTTCCAAGGAAGTGCCGATGCCCCCGTGGCCCTGGTGGCTCACCTGGCCCCGGAGAGTGTGCTTGCGGATGGCAGGTACCAGCAGTGGATGGAGAGGTACGGAGCCTGGCCCAGCAGCACGCGTGACCTTCCCCTCTCCTTGAAGCGTTCCCACCCTTACTCCACGCCTGCCTAGACTTCCCTGGGACTCCTGCTGTCCCTGCATTCTGAGCCAGCACCTGCATCCCTCTTAAAGTGTCACCGCTAGGGAGCACCATGTGTGCACATGTCCTGCTTGCGTGAGGCCCATTTAAAACAGCAGCTCACACCCTCTACACTCAGGGTCTGAACCAACGCTGCCTTTTGGTTGACAATTCCACTCGTGTAGCCTAAAAAAGAGACTTGCGGGTTTAAAATGAGAGCTTCAGTTTATTAAACACCCCTGTCAGGCAGTGTGTTAAATAGTCTACATTTTGTTTTATTTTCTTTAATCCTCCCAACAGCCCTGTGAGGCAGATGGTCTGCCAGAATGTAGTGCTAGAAGGAGGGCACGCTTTCCTGTTGGCCGCATTGGCTGGGCCAGCATCGAGTGGGAAATTATTTGTGTTGAATTTGCAGCACATGGTGACGCTGGGTGGCGGGTCAACCTGCCTGTCCTGGTTCTCCCGGCAACTCCTGCATCTCTTCCCCGTTGGCCTGGCGCCACTCACTCCTCGGCACTCCTCGGCCTGTCCCTTTGGCCTTGAGTCTCACATGGGGTACTTCCTTCTTCCCAGGCTTTTCTCCAGTCCGCACTGCACTCTGTCTCCTGGCTGTAGCTGTAGGCTCCCAACATTGTCACTTTTCTTTTTTTCTGGTTTTTTTTTTCTGGTTTGAGTTTGGGGAGAAACTGGACTTTGAGACAGAAGTAGTAGGACTCTGGCCAGTTAGTAACAGTCTTTCTGGACAAGTCACTTATTCTCTTTGAACACCTCCATCTATGTTGGTGCTCTGTTCCCAGTGCTGCCCCTCAGGACGAGGCCCTTCAGGAAGCTGTGCATGTGCAGTCTGTTCCTTCTTAGGTTTGGACCTGACACCCAGCACCTGATCCTGAATGAGAAGTGTACGTCCGTTCACAACCTCCGGAGCCACAAGATCCAGACACAGCTCAACCTCATCCACCCTGACATCTTCCCCCCGCTCGCCAGCCTCCGCTGTAAGGTAGGGTCACAGGATGGCCCCTGTGGCCTGGGCGCTCCCCCTTCTCTCTCTCCACGGAGTGTGCTCTCTCTTTCAGGAGGAAGGCGCCGCCTTCTCTGTGCCCACGGTCCGCGCCGAATGCCTCCTCAAGTACCAGCTCCGGCCCCGGAGGGGGTGGCAGAGGTCTGTGACTCAGCCTGTGGATGGTCTGGGCCGGAGGTGGTTTTTGGGAAGGGCCAGGTAGTGAATATTTTAGGCTTTGCACACGTGGTGTCTGTTGGAATTACCCATCTGCCACTGTCCCACGAGCCAGAGCGACAGACAGCCCGCAGGCGGGCGTGCGGCTGTGCCCCAGGATCAGCGCGTTGATGAAACCAGCTGACCTCGTGTTGAGTTGGAAGGTGGTGTCCATGACTATCCCTTTCTGCAGTTGTTTTCTCTGCTGGGAGCAGTGATGCATGTTCATTGTTTTCAGTGTAGAAATATGAACTGTATCGTGAAGGTAGTCAATCCCCCAAAGTCCCTTCAGCACTAGATGAGAGGGTGGTTGACAAAGTTTTTTTCTTTTAACTTGGAGTATATGGGATGTATTGTATATATAGTACCTGACACTGTGTAATATAGTCTTCCCTGTGTCATTACATAGTCTCCCCAAGAGGTCCATAGAGGGGTGTTTGTTAAATTGAGGCATTCGCAAGTTTTTGCTGTTTTAATGAAACAGTAAATGCCTCATGTATTGATCTCTGACTGGAAGTGTTCCCTTAGGGTAGTTCTTAGCCCAAGGGACATTGGTGACCAGCAGTCGCCAACCGGTGGTCCGCGGACCACTAGTGGTCTGTGAAGTCCGAAAGGTTGGCGACCGCTGCTCCTGACAGCATTCGGTAAACACCTTGCCGTCCCGAGAGGCTCTGCGGCCCCCCATCCTTAGTTTTCAAGGCCTGAATCTGGAGTCACTGGCGTTGCCTGTCCGCTCTGCAGTGTGTGCTCCAGGGTGTTGGGGGCCGCATGCTGCTGAGAGACGGGCACGGCGCCCCAGGCAGGGTGGAGGCTTGTCTGCAGCGGCAGAGGCTGCGATTAACAAATGTAGCCGTACCCATGCCCACCTGGTACCTGTGGGAAATGGAATTCCTGAACTGCTGACCGAAGGTCACTTAGGTGATCTCAGTGCTCAGATGACGGACGAGCCACTGCTCTGAGGCTTGCGCTCAGCGTGGCCAGGCAGCAGCAGAGCACTACTCGGAGGCTGCTGGGGATGAGTCTCGGGCTCCACCAGAGCCACTGAATCAGGCCCTGCAGTTTGACGGGGTTCAAGGAGATGAGTTGTGTGCACGTAAGTTTGAGAGGCACTGCTTGGGGTAATTTCCCCGGCCTCCAGGGGAGTCTAGATGCTGGCAGCATTCAGTGAGCAGATAGATGTCAGTGATGCCAGGGTTGTCTGGCTCTGAGCTGGGAGGTATTCTGAGGAGCTGGAGCTATTCAGAGCTCACTCTGAGACTCCCACCGACGGAACAAAACTGCCCAGACTCTGAGGCGCTTGGTCTTCAATCTTGACTTGAAACAACTTTAGTTGCCTGAAATACTTTTCTCTTTGCAGGGATGCTCTTCTAACTTGCAATCCTGATGAATTCATAGCCGAGGCAATGGAGCTCCCCAATTTCCAAGAGAGTGTGCAGGAGTATAAGGAGACCGCACAGAACAGCCCAGCCCCAGCCGGTGAAGGAGGGACCCGGGCAGCCCTTCTCCCAGCCCAGCACCCACTGGGTTAATGTGTGCCCTCCCCTGCTTCCCTTTTCCTTTTCTGGAACAGCGAAGGGAAGGCCTGGTGGCACACGGGCTCTCTCCAGGGCTCATGCCAAGAGCAGCAGTGCTGGGAGCTCCTGGGAGGTGTGGGAAGAACTGTGAGCCAGGACGCGGTTGAATGGGGACTGAGTCCTGTCTTTGCTAATGAGGAGCCACCAAGGATTCCGGCCACGCCCCTCGTCTCCTCAGCTTTCCTAGCCCCTTGAAGAGTGTCCTTTTCTTTCTTTATTTTAAAATGTATTTTTATTAATTTCAGAGAGGAAGGGAGAGGGAGAGAGAGAAACACCAGTGATGAGAATCATTGATCCACTGCCTCCTACATGCTACACACTGGGTATCTCGCCCGCAGTCTGGGCAAGTGCCCTGACCGGGAATTGCACCAAGACCTCTTGGTTCATAGGTCGACCCTCAACCACTGAGCCATACTGGCTGGGCCCCAGTGTCCTTTTAACTAATGATAGAAATAGACACGGCTGGGGTAGAAGGCGGGCTTGTAACCTACTCAGTCCCAGGCAAGTAACCTCTTGTCCTGGCCTCCTGGTTTGGGAAGACTGACTGACTTGCCTTTGGGTTTGATTGGGTTTCTGGTTCGGATGTGTACATGGTGCCAGTCAGAGGCGGTGGAGGGGGCCCCAGCGACAGAATCGTCAGGTGCCCTGGATTTCAGCCCCAGCTGTGCCTCTCCTTTCTGGAGCTGACCCTGAGCCCACAGTCCTGGGAAGCGGGGTGCTGCAGGTCTGGTGGTAGGAGCTGATACAAGGTGACACCAGCCCCTGGAGGTGCATGCTGATTCCAAGCACAAGGAAGGCCCCTTTGTAACTGAAAGACTTGCAACAATTCTTTGGAAGAAAGGCCTGAGAAATTCATTTGCTTCACAGACAGCCCTTTGCCCACAAACAGCCTGTGACCCCTCTGACGGTGGCCCTTCCATCAGGATATTTGCCACAGGGAACCCCGGGCCCTCCTGGGACTTACTCATGTCAGGGCTGAATGCTGGCTCACATTTGACGGAAAGAAGTGAACCCTTCATCTGTATTTTTCCATAGAGAAAAAAGCCCGGTATCCAGAAATCATCTTCCTGGGAACAGGGTCCGCCATCCCCATGAAGATTCGAAATGTCAGCGCCACGCTCGTCAACCTCAGGTATGATTGCTTTCCAGGAAATGCCGTCCATCATGGAGCCTGCTGGTTCTCTACACCCAGTTCTCCACCCGCCACAGCCACACAGTGGAACCCTGGGGGCTGGTGGTCTTGGCTAGAGTGCTCCCGAGAGGAGCCTCAGGAGCTCACTCAGACTTCGAGAATCACTGAGATTTGTCACCCAGGCATCTTTTGATAAAAATAGCCGATTCTACCATGTCCCATGCACTTTGCTAAGAAATTATGTCACTTAATTTTCACATTAATCCTATGAAGTAGTGACTATGCATTTTAATGAAGAGTAAACTGATGCTCAGGTTATTTGGCGGGTAAGTGACAGGTGCAAATGTGAACTGGGGTCTTAATCCTTACGTGGCCTTGTCCCCATAGCTAGGTACTGCTGATATGGGAGACAGCCTCCAGGTTGCTGCATTTGTTTTGTGTTCAGCCCTTTGATTGGATGGTGTTTAGTTGATTCTCTTGGGTTTGCCTGGTGTCATTTCTCGGCCGAGATTAATCAGGAACCCTGAAAGGTTCATGGTGTGTATGGTAATGTCTCGCGAGCTTCTCTGAAAAGCGGGTGCAGCCGTCCTGGTCTCATGGCTCTCCCAGAGGAGGAAGGGCCGCAGAGACCCGTCTCCTCACCAGAGCACGGTCCAAGGCGGCTGCTCCTAGCACGGCCGGCAGAGCTTGCGGCGTTGAAGCTCCAGGTCCTGCTTGGGAGCCGCTAAAACGGGGCTCCACTGGTCGCCGGGGTTCACACTTACTCATTCCCGGAGGACCCCTGGGCCTTCCTGCCCCGGCCAGCTGTGAGGATAGGGCTGAGAAAACCAGCACTGCCTCGGGTAGAACATCCTGCGGAGCCAGATCTCCTGGGACACAGCACCCACCTCTGGTGCTGTCACCAGTGGGTGCTCACAGGCATTCTGAAGAATCAGCATCCTTATGAGGTTGGGTAAATGTTCACCCTTCCATTCCACATAAGCATTTTTAATGCCCAGCATTTGGATAGCTCTGTGTACTTTCTATATTCTTTTTTTTTTTTCATTCAACTATTATTTATTAAACACGTACTCTATGGCAAGCCCATAATCCCCACTCTCATGAAATTTTTTTTTCAAAATATAAAATAAATCTATTACCAGATTGTAGATACAAAATAATTAGCCATTTGTATGCAATAAACATTAATATTTTAATAAAAAAAGATTTTAAATATAATATTATCAAAACTATACTAACATAGTATAATATCACAAAAGTAGGAAATATTAAAAATCTGCAAATAACAGGATTACTTCTATTCTAAAAATTTTTTTTCTGGCTCTATTTTTGTTCATTTTATGTTGTTCATTATATTCCACAAGTGAGTGAAATCATGTGATACTTATCTTTCTCCAACTGGCTTATTTCGCTTAGCATAATGTTCTCCAGGTCCATCTATGCTGTTGCAAATGGTAAGAGTTCCTTCTTTTTCACAGTAGTGTAGTATTCCATTGTGTAGATGTACCATAGTTTTTTAATCCACTCATCTGCTGATGGGCACTTAGGCTATTTCCAAATCTTAGCTATTGTAAATTGTTCTGCTATGAACATAGGGGTGCATATATCCTTTCTGATTGGTGTTTCTGATTTCCTGGGGTATATTCCTAGAAGTGGGATTACTGAGTCAAATGGGAGTTCCACTTTTAATTTTTTTAGGAAACTCAATGCTGTTTTTCACAGTGGCTGCACCAGTCTGCATTCCCACCAGCAGTGCAGGAGGGTTCCTTTTTCTCTGCATCCTCTCCAGCACTTGTCGTTTGTTGATTTGTTGATGATAGCCATTCTGACAGGTGTGAGACGGTACCTCATTGTTGTTTTGATTTGCATCTCTTGGATGATTAGTGACTTTGAGCATGTTTTCATATGTCTCTTAGCCTTCTGTAAGTCCTCATTTTTAAAAAATATATATTTTATTGATTTCTTACAGAGAGGAAGTGAGAGGGATAGAGAGTTAGAAACATCGATGAGAGAGAAACATCTATCAGCTGCCTCCTGCACACTCCCTATTGGGTATGTGCCTACAACCAAGGTACATGCCCTTGACCGGAATCGAACCTGGGACCCTTGAGTCTGCAGGCCGATGCTCTATCCATTGAGCCAAACCAGTTAGGGCAAGTCCTCATCTTTTAAAAAATATATTTTATTGATATTTTACTGAGAGGAAGGGAGAAGGAGAGGGATAGAGAGTTAGAAACATTGATGAGAGAGAAACATTCAGCTGCCTCCTGCACACTCCCCACTGGGGATGTGCCTGCAGCCAAGGTACATGCCCTTGACTGGAATCGAACCTGGGACCCTTCAGTCTGAAGCTGACGCTCTATCCATTGTGTTCTTTATTTGTGTTATGTCATTCTTTATCTCAGACTGTTTTTTTTTTTCATAGTTACTATATCTTTTTTCATGCTGTTGAGCATCTTTACCATCATTACTCTGAACTCTTTCTTAGATAAATTTCTTATGTCTGCTTCACTTATCTCTTTTTCTGGAGAATTCTCAAGTTCTTTCAGTTGGGGGTGGTTTCTTTGTTTCCTTATTTTGGTTGTCTGTTTGTGACTATGTTTTAGGTACATCCTCTACATCAGTGGTTCTCAACCTTGGCTGCACATTAGAATCACCTGGGAATCTTTTTAAAATCCTGATTTCTGGGCCTCATCCTCCGGAAATTCTGTTTCTTTGTTATGGGGTGGGGCCACAACATTAGTAACAAAGAAACAGAATTTCCAGAGGATGAGGCCCAGAAATCAGGATTTTAAAAAGATTTCCCAGGTGATTCTAATGTGCAGCCAAGGTTGAGAACGACTGCTCTACACCTCTCAATCTCTAGTGCAGGACAGTGTTAAAGGCTGTTTCTGACTAATTAGATCAGGCAAAGACTCAAAGCCTCCAGAGACCTCCTCTGTCTACAGACTGATAGGATTCCACCTTGAATTGCCTCTAGGCAATCATCCTCAGGAGTGGCCAGAGTTGGCAGTTGCTTTTGCCTGGAGGCTGTTACTTTTATTCTCTTACATGGCCACAGGACAAGGTGTTTTCCAGTAGGGTGTGGCAACACGGCAAGGCAGATGTCTTTGTGGGAAAGCTGTCCTCCGCTGTGTGAAGGAATGGCTCAGCCCAGGAAACCTGGGGTGTCTGCCTTCTGAGCTCTATCTCCCAAGTCCCTAGTCCTGGGTTCTGCTCTCACAGCTCCAGTCCACTTCACCCTCCCTCTGCCAGAGCACAAGGTGGGTGGCTCCATAGGGAATTTTGTGTGCTGGCCCTTTAAGAAGATGCCTGAATTTTCAGCTGCCACTCCCTGGCAGACAGCACCCCACTACATTTCACAGTGTTATGTGGGTACCCTCCTCAGTTCTGGTGCTCTCTGCTGGGATGCCCGCCTCAGGGATTAGATTCCCGAGTTCTCAGTGGCAGCCCCCACAGCTGAGATATCTCTCCAGGACTCCAGTTGCTGTCTGTGGGCACCTGGCCAGCCCTTTTGCACCTCCGCCTCCTACCAGTCTCTATGTGGTCTCCACTTTCGGTCCTTGGGTATCAGGGTTCTGTCTTGTGAGTTTTCCATTGACTATTCAGGAATTTTTTCTGAATTTTAGTTGTAATTCCAGCTTGTTCCTGGGAGCATGTCCATGCAGGATCCACTTACTCTGCTGCCATTTTTAATCCTACTTTCTATATTTTTTATTCTTTACTAGTAATCCTCACCCGAGAATATGTTTATTCAGTTGAGAGAGAGAGAGAGAGAGGGGGGGGAGAGAGAGAGAGAGAGAGAGAGAGAGAGAGAGAGAGAGAAACGGTGATGTGAAAGAGAAACATTGATTGGATGCCTCTTGTATGCACCCCAACTAGGGATTCAACCCACAACCTCGGTATGTGCCCGGACTGGGAATCAAACCCACAACCTTTGATTCACAGGACGACGCTCCAATCCACTGAGCTATGTGGCTAGGACACTTCCTACATTCATTAAAGGGCTCCAGGCTTCTGTGGATAGTTCCGTATAAGGAGGATGGACATTACAGTTGCGTTACTGTTTGTACAAGGTCCTCAGAGAAGCAGACGCGAGGTTATGGGAGATACAGTGCATTCGCTGCTTGGCTCTTCTCTGAGATCACAGGCCTCTGAGCCATGAGAGGCCTCTTCTCAGCCATGAACGTCTCTCTTCTTTCTCTGTAGCTCCGACAAGTCCCTGCTGCTGGACTGTGGGGAAGGTACGTTTGGGCAGTTGTGTCGTCACTACGGCGATGACGTGGACAGGGTCTTGGGCAGCCTTGCTGCTGTGTTCGTGTCCCACCTGCACGCAGATCACCACACGGTGAGTGCTGGGCAGGACCCCGGAGCCCCACCTGAGGCAGCTGTGGCCTTGCTCTCCTCCATCCCAAACTTGCCCACCACCCTGGCTCTTCGCCTCTTGCGAGGTAACGGTCGTTCACAGAACCCAGCTCAGTAATTCTGCCCATAAGGATGCTGGTCTTTCTGTTTGCCTGCTGTCATGTTCCAGTAGGGCTCTGCCTTCCCACATGCCTGCAGAGGAAACTGCAGCCAGAGGGGCGGGGCTTGGCCTCCTGGGCAGCTGGGTCTCCAGCCAATGCTCTCTCTCTTGGGTCAGCATGTGCTGGCTCCCAGCGACAGCAGTGTTAGAGGCTGGTGGCCAATAGAGGGCGAGGGGCTCCTGCAAGATGAGGGCGAGGACCCCAACCGGGCCGAGGCTGCTGGCGTCTCGTCTCACCTGCATCTCCTTTCCCCTTCCAGGGCTTGTTAAATATCCTGCTGCAGAGAGAACGCGCTTTGGTGAGTGCGACGCTCGACCTACGGCCACTTTGGGTTTGCTGGGGTTACACCCAGCCCTCCTGCGATGCCTGCCTTTGGTTCAGCTCTGACTTTGTTGTTTTAGGCATCTCTGGGAAAGCCCTTTCACCCTTTGCTGGTGGTTGCCCCAACCCAGCTCCGGGCCTGGCTCCAGCAGTACCACAACCAGTGCCAGCCGCTCCTGCACCACGTCAGGTGAGCTCCCTGCAGCCCGTCCCGAGGCTGTCGCCTCCCCTCCACAGCTCAGGGCTGACCTGGGGCAGGTCAGGATACCCCCGCAACCTTCCCCTGACGTGGCCCAGTGGCAGAAGCAGGGAGAAAGCTTTGACTCAGGGCAAAACCACTTCACTTAGATGTCTGTCTTCTTGGCTGCGTTTCCTCGCAGCCTCATTTCAGCTACGTTCTAGTTTCTAGACTTTTGCCAACACCTCTTGGTAAAACAGTTGCAGGCCACGTGCCCGAGTTGTGAGCTCAGAGACTGCCCCGCCAGGGGATGCGTGGTGGGAGTTGGCCCTATCCCCACCTCGTGGGAAGGAGTCTGTCTGCCTGGGCCCAGCCATGGCCGCTTGGGCAGGGCCTGCTATGCCTTCGCTGTGGGCAGCTCACCCGGTAGGTTTCTCAGTGGCCTGGGGTTTGGTTTGTTCTAATTGACGACCTTTCTCAGTCTCATTGACTGCGATTTAAATTGTGTTTCTCTATAATGATTGTAGGGTTTCCCAAATTCTTAAACTTTGATTCAAGTTAAATTTGATTTAATGTTTTCTTTCTCACAGTGTGATCCCTGCCAGATGCCTTCAGAAAGGAGCCGAGGTCTCCAGCTCCACACTTGAGAGCTGGATTGGCTCACTGCTGAGAGGCTGTGATCTGGAGGAGGTATGGAGCGGCCGCAGGGGGCGGGGGGCGTCTGGCGATGGGGGGCACCGCTGGAGCCATGCCCTGCCCTGCCCTCCAGTTTCAGGTCTGCCAGGTCCGGCATTGCAAGCATGCTTATGGCTGCGCGCTGGTCCATACGTCTGGCTGGAAGCTGGTCTACTCAGGGGACACCATGCCCTGCGAGGCTCTGGTCCAGATGGGTGAGTAGAGGCAGCTAACAGCTTGGTGGTCATCCTAGCATCCACACAGGGCACAGGGTCAGGGGATGGAGTGTGGGCAGGAATCCAGGGCCGAGTGCTTGTCCAGCACAGGACCCTGCCCCACGCCCATGCTTCCTTTAGGGCAGTGATGGCGAACCGGTAACACGCGAACTCATTTTTTTGGGGTTGATTTTTCTTTGTTAAATGGCATTTAAATATATAAAATAAATATCAAAAATATAAGTCTTTGTTTTACTATGGTTGCAAATATCAAAAAAATTTCTTTATGTGACGGCACCAGAGTTAAGTTGGGGTTTTTCAAAATGCTGACACGCCGAGCTCAAAGGTTCGCCATCACTGCTCTAGGGAAAGATGCCACCCTCCTGATTCATGAGGCCACGCTGGAAGATGGTCTGGAGGTGGAAGCTGTGGAAAAGACACACAGGTAGCTGTGAACACTTCGGCCTATCACCTACTCCCTCCCTTTCTCTCCCCTCCCTGTGACTGCGCAGCCTCATGGCAGCCCTGCTAAGAAAGACCTGCCTGCGTCCCACCAGGGGCTGTGGGCTGTGACGGGGAGGTGGTTGGCTTTGGGCCCTTCGGCTTTATCTCTGCAGAGCTCTAGGAAAGGCTCTGAGGCAGCCCAGCTTTAGAAAGAGCTAGAAACAGGCTGGAATCAACTGTAAGCCACGTCAGGGAATATGGCGGGTTTGGGGGGCAGGGGAAGGGCAGGCCCAAGGGGGCGCGTCAGCCGGATGCGACCCTCCAACCCTGTTTGCAGCACCACCTCGCAGGCGATCGGTGTGGGGATGCGCATGAACGCCGGGTTCATCATGCTGAACCACTTCAGCCAGCGCTACGCCAAGATCCCCCTCTTCAGCCCGGACTTCAACGAGAAAGTCGGCATTGCCTTTGACCACATGAAGGTGTGCGTGTGGTGTGGGCTGCGCCGGGTGGGGCCGGGCAGAGACCGCCACATGGACGGTATGGGAGGGATGGGAGGGCCAGCGGTGAGAGGACCTGCCCATCACCCCTCAGGACCAGCACCAGGGTTGAAGGCCGCCCGACCTTCCGCCGGCCGTTTAGCGCTGGGGGCTGGAAATGACAGAGCCTCGGGGGCTCGTCTGCTCCCACCATCAATCACCACAGCCTCGGAGCCTGGAGACGGCCTCTCCTCTTGGGACTGGGGAGCCAGGCCGGCTCAGGCAGGGGCCAGGCTCGTTTCTGAGGAGCCTGATTTTCAGAGTCTGACAGCCTAGTCTTCTGAGGCCCCTTCACCTGGCCGCCCTCAGCCCCTGTGGGGCGTCTCTGCCCTTTCTTTAGTCTCCTGCCGCCTCTGCGTTTTCCTTCTTTTTCTAGCTGTGGTCTGTGGCCACAGGGTTGGTGAGGGGATGTGTGCCTGCTGGATGGTCACGCGCCTTCCTCACTGAGGCATGTCTTCCCCGTCCTGCCCTCCAGGTGCGGCTCGGAGACCTCTCCACGGTGCCCAGGCTGATGGCCCCGCTGAAAGCTCTGTTTGCTGACGACCTTGAGGAGATGGAGGAGCGCCGGGAGAAGCGGGAGCTGCGGCTGGTGCGGGCGGCCCTGCTCTCCCAGGCGCAGGCGGGCAGAGCTGAGGACAGTGAGCCCCCGCGGAAACGGGCCCATACAGAGGGGCCTGCCAGCCCACAGAGGAAGGTCAGGGCAGAATGAAGGCCAGGAGCGGCCCTGAACTTGGAAGGCTCACGCCCCACCCCGCACAGGGTCCCGAGTGCGCCCTCTGCCTGGTGGGAGCCGAGGGCACTGTGGAACGGGCGGCACACAGGAACGGCGGTGGGAGCTGGGCCTTGGCTTGGGTTCCAGGTGAGGACTGCGTGCTGGACATGTCACGAATGTGCCTGGCGGAGCCGTGGACAGGAGGCTGCGAGGAAAGAAAACGGAATTCGGTGCCAGTGACTTAAGTCACGTAGAAGAACGCATACCAGGCCTGTTCCCGCCAAGCCGTGCCCTCCGCACACCAGAGACAGGCTGTCGGGGAACACGGGTCGTGGATGTGACGTCTCAGTGCCCAAGGCTCCAGGCTCCAGGCTCAAGGAGTAGTGTTTCCAGAGCCCAGAACTCAATAAAGATTCCTGCGGAACAAGTGCTTTGCCTGGTCCTGGTGCCGCCTGCGCAGGCCCCAGCGCGTCCCGGAGGCCAGCTGTGAGGCGGGAGGACCACGCCTGTCCCGGGAGGCACACAGTGGCCGGGTTCTGCTGAGTCAGCTGTGCAGGCTGCCAATGGGGCCTGGTTCCATGCACCAGTCGAAAGGCTGGGCCTGCGCGGTGCCTCCGGAACACAGCCTCCCGCAGTGCTGGGAGCGGCGAGACGGTAGTCGGCTTTCCCTGGCGCAGTGAAAGCGAGAATCCCTCATTGCCCTTCAGCGTATTACGAAGTAGCACGTCAGGCTGGCTCCCCTGCCCCCTTATGAGCTTGAACAGCACCGAGGTTAGTGCCTGAAGACAGAGAGTTTTTAAAGCTAAGTCCAGTATTTATTTGTATATTCTCCTGCCGAGGAGAAGACAGAAATGCTTTAAAAACTCCGGTGATGAGAGGGAGGCAGGCGGAGGCCTAGGCAGCACCTCCCCAGGCAGCACCTGCCACTGAGTCCCGTGTCCCACATGCTTCGTAACTTAAACAACGAAAGGCCGTGCTCAGGGATAATAAATCTATTTTAATAAGATTACTTTTGACAACTATTTGTACATGTATTTAAAGGTGCTTTCAGCCCCCGGGCTCCATTGCAAATTGGGTACCGAACCGCCCTTGCCAGGAAGTGAGCAAAGCTGGTAGCATCCCAAGTCTGCCAACCGCACGGTCAGAGGAGGGCTACTTTACACTGTGCTGGGAGAAGGAATACGCACTTAAACTTCGCATCGTACACCTGTACACTGGCTTAGATTGAATGGCTCAAATTAAACAAATAGAAATTTCATATATACAAATATATCATGTATAGGTATGTCATATCTGCCTTAAAAGGGTAAAATTGTAAAGTGTGGCTGTGCATGCATGACCCAGATGTCTCTCAGTCCCAGAGGGTGTGGGCTCCCAGTGCTCCCGCCTGCCCCCGAGAGGGGGGGGGGGGTTCGTGAGAAGGGGAGAGAGCCTGACGCTGGGGGTTGGGGCTGGCCTGGTGTCTCCCAGGCCGGTCTCACGCTATGCTCGGGCTCTGGGTAACAGTTATTGCTATTCACAAGTGCCCTCCAGGAGAGGCTCCTGGTCCCGACCCCGCACCTGTGAGCTGGTGCCCCTGAGAGCTGGAGGTGTAGAATGCTGTCAGATCATTTGATGTTTGGGGGGGCATGGGGAGGTGTCTTTAGGCCCTCTAGACATCAAGGTCATTTTTAAATTTGGAAGTGTGAAACGAGAAGGTAGAAACAGGAGCTTTCGGTAACACGGTGTGGAAAATAAAACTTGGGAAGTAAAACAAATGTGTTCAGCGTTTACTTAGAGCCCACCAAGGAGGGGAGCCTCCCTGTGCAGCGCACGTCAGCGCCCAGGACTCGAGAATCCGGTCTGGTCCCTGTCAGTGAAGGGCTTGCTCTCCATTCCCTTCTGTGGCCGTCCAGCCGACACCCGTCAGCTGACACTGAGGACTCCTGCTGTCAGTACAGGCGCAGCCCAGGTCTCCCCCAGCACCTGGCCCTCCCCCACCCCCCTGCAGGGGACTGCCAGGAGCCCTTGGTGGAGAGGGCTGCTGCTTGGCATGGAGGCTGAAAGTAGGTCAAATAGGCACAAAGTCAAAGGCAAAGATCAAACAAAAGGCCCACGTCACCACCCGAGGGGAACGAACAAAATCTGCACCACCGACGTTTGCCACTCAGGCCGGGGGTGACCGCTCTCTGCAGAGCTCCGGCCGTGCGCGGCAGTGACAACGAGAGCCACGGGGGACTTGGGCCCAGGGCGCCCTGCCATATGCTGGTCTGGGCCCACGTATGTACACGCGTGTCAAAGGGCGGTGCTCTCTGAGTCCTCCTCCGAGTCCCTCTTCTCAGTCACCGAGGGCCGCAGCTTGTGCTCCAGGGGACTCAGGCGGAGCGCCGGCCCGAGCTCCACGTGGATGGAGGGGACTTCGAAGTGAGCGAGATCTGGAAGTTGGCAGAGAGAGATGAGTGGAAAGGGGCTGCGGCTAAGGAGACCCGACGCCAGGGGCAGGCAGCTAGTCAGCATTAGGAAGCGAGCGGGTGGGCCACCGAGGGCCAGCCTGTAGGGGGCCACTTGAAGCGTTTTATCGCAGCATTGCATTAGGGTTGGGCAGCTTCACTTCTACCAAGCAAGCCTGTGGGCCAGCGCAGACCTGCCCGCCGGGTGGCCCTCAGCACTGCTAGCAGCTCCTGCTGCTCCCGCACACCCTGCCTCCGGGCCGGTCCCACTGGCGGCTCCTGGGATTTCAGGGTTGCATTTAGTTCCTAACGCCTGCAGGGACAGGGTGTGAGGCAGTGGAAAAACCCTGTTTTCCCAGCGAGTGGGGGATCCTGAGACAGTGCAAGCACCCCAAGGCTGTGAACAGTAAGTATACCTCGATGGCTGAAGGGCCCGGCAGAGGGGTCCCAGGAGCTGGGCCGAAGTTGCAGCAAACTGTTTGCTCCCCAACTGTAGGAAAACCCCATCTCTCAGCCCTAGGAGCCGCTCACCTCGAGGCGCAGCTGCCCCGGGGCACTAAAGGCCTGTTCCTGGGAGAGGATCGGGAAGAGGGACCCGAGGTGAAAGGCTCAGCGCCTGTGGGTCTGGGCCCCTGTGAGCTGCAGAGTTGAGACGGTCCAGCAGCTCTGCATAGCCGGGGCCCCGTGTGGGCGGGGGCTGCGCTGCCCTGGGAACCCCATCTGCTCACCCCAGACTGTAGGGCTCACTGGGAACCCCACCTGCTCACCCCAGGCTGTAGGGCTCACTGGGAACCCCACCTGCTCACCCCAGGCTGTAGAGCTCACTGGGAACCCCACCTGCTCACCCCAAACTACAGGGCTCACTGGGAACCCCACCTGCTCACCCCAGGCTGTAGGGCTCACTGGGAACCCCACCTGCTCACCCCAAGCTACAGGGCTCACTGGGAACCCCACCTGCTCACCCTGGGCTACAGGGCTCACTGGGAACCCCGCCTGCTCACCCCGGGCTGCAGGGCTCCAGGCCGGGTAGCCGGGCACAGCCCCGGGCCCTCACCCTCAGCCATGTCACCCGCCCACCTGCTCAGCTCTGCCTCACCTCGCCTTGCCTTCCACCTGGGCCTGGGCAGCGAGGAAGCTACCTGGGAGGGAGCAGCCTTTGGGCAGGAACTGGGAGGTGGGGTTTTGTTGGTTTCTTATTTTGCTTTTTTTGGTAAAACAAACATTCAACCCAAAGAATGCCATACCAAGTAGACAGACAGACATCTGGACACGGTCCTAAGAGACACTGTACAAACATGGAAGCTCTGGAACCCAGGTCCACTCCCGCCTCCCAAGCACTCATCAGGGAGCCACTGCAGCCTGTCCTCACTGGAGGCCTCAGGCAGAGGTGAGGGCTGAGCTCAGCTCTGCCTGCCCCCCGCTGGGCCACCCCTGGGTGCCTTGTGGGAGGCTGCTGCTGGCTTGGGGCCCACCCATCTGTACCACCAGGCGGCACATGACCCTGCACAGGTTTCTCGCCTCCCCTGTGCCAGGCAGTCAAATGGGAACAGCCCAGGGTGGTGGGGGGTTGTGTGACAGTCTGGACAGCAGGCGAAGAGCGCCCGGCCCAGAACTGGCGCTGGAGTGAGCTGCTCAGCGCACCCTGGCTGCTCCCTGGAGACCCTGAGGGGGACTCGCTGACGGTGCTGGGGGTTGGCGGAGCTGGTTTCCTATTAAGAGGCCTGTGGGCTCTGCTGGCCTGGTCTCGGCAGCTCTCATGGGGCACCCCTGGAGGGCCCCAGATTGGCTCTGGCCACACCTTCTTACTGAGGTAGGAACACCTCATTCCTTCTGGCTTCGTTCATGTTCTTGCCTTGGTTTCACTTTAGAGCACCTGCTCTTTATAGGAGGAGACCAGGCAGACCTGGGTAAATGTTCCCCAGCGTTTATCGAGCTGGGGAGATGAGCTCAGGATGCACTCTAATGCTATGGCTTTTCCAGGATCCGCCAGCCTCAGCCTCAGCCTCACCCTGGAGGAGGCGCGTGGACTTCAGTCTGAGAGTGCAGGTCCCAGGGCGCCCTCCCTGAGACAGGTCCAGGCTGCGGGGGCTATGCCCGCGGCCTGAGCTTGCCCTTCGTGGACAGGTCCCTAAACCAAGGTGTAGTGAGGAACTGCCCCGGATGCTGGGCAGAGAAGTCTCCGCAGGTCCGGCCTGGGAAGGGCGGCCTGATCCCCATCAGCTCAACCTCAGGGAGAGGAGGGGTGCTGGACTAGGTGGCTGGTGACAGAAGGTGAGCAGACGAGCTCGGCCTCTGCCTGGCTTTGTCCCCAGATCCTGAGGACAAGAAAGAGACCCCAACATGGCCAGGGACCCCAGAAAGCTCCTGCTGCGCTGGGGAAGGCACCGAGGGAGCGGCCATGCAGGGCCCAGCTACATGCAGTGCGGAGGGGAGGGCTGGGGCCGCTTACCCTGAACTCCCCTCACATGTATCCAACACTGCGGCACCCATGTCACACGGCTGCAAGGACAATGACAGGATCGGAGAGAGGAATAAACAGGACGGAACAAGAACGCAACACAACACGGTGCCCAGTATCAGCCAGGTGGCCACACCCCATCAGTCCAGCTCCTCCCTCGGCCCCCGGCCTGTACAGGCGGGACAGAACAACGCAGCCGGAGAACACTGAACAGAAAGGCATGGGGTGGGCATCTCTCAGTCTAGAGGCAGCAGCCCCGCAGCTGGTGCAGTGGGAGGGGTCCTTACGCTTCCCGCGTGGCTGTGGGCACCACCTGTCCTGTCCCTCACTGCCTCCTGTGGCCCACTTTCCCCCAAATCTCTCATTCTGTCCTCTCAGGAGGTGAGCAGACCACCCTGGGTCCTTCCTTGGGCGGCCCCAGAAGTTGGCAGGCTGATGTGTTGGGAGGAGCGGCCCCCCTGGACAACTCAGGGTGACCAGGAGCTCCGGGGGTGTGGCCCTGAACCCCCAAAGCAGTGGGCCTGTGCTCCCTCCCCTCAG